AGTAACGGCTGTTGGAAGGAGCCCTGAGCGTTCTGGCAGGCCACGGATTAAACGCGGGCCTGTGGGGTGCTGAAGCTGCCGTTGAAGGAGTCAGTGCGGCCTTGGGCTGCATCAACGGAGATGCAGTGTGGAGATCCTGGGAAGTGGCATTTCTACTCTCAGCTCCGCTAATCAGACTGGCCTGGAACACTGGCCCAGCACAAGAAGGAGGCTGAAGAACTAGAAAGAAAGTGGAGAAGAGTGACAAAGGTGGTGAGGGGCCTGGAGGCTCAATCTGTCGTGAAAGTTAGGGGAACAGGGCACTCGCAGCCCAAGGAAGAGAGGGCCGGGGTGAGATACGGCAGCATCCTTTCGAGGCCTGTGGCAGGGAAGAGGTGTGTAGGGCAGGACAAGGAAGAGCAGGAGTTTCCTGACCCAAAGGGCCCTTCAGCAGTGGGGCAGGCTGCCTCCTGGAATGAAGGCAGCTCCGTTGCTGGAGGTTTTCAAGCAAGGATTGGCAGCCACTTGACTGGAATAGTCTGAGGACTCCTGCCTTCAGCAGGGGGTTGGGCTACAGGACTTCTAACTATATGTTAGTTTACTACTCCCTGATCACAGCAATAACTGCTGGGCAGTTATAGTTGAAACTGGAGGCCAGTCTTTTGCGTACACGTTTATTAAACATTTTAAATTGTCTAATAGCAAAAGCTCTCTGTGCAATTTACTGAAATGGTTCTCCCAGTGGCCACTAGGAAGAAATGGAAGAAGTCCCTTCCCTTCTGCCAAAGCACCTTAAAGGTTGCCTGGCCACTTCCTTCCAGGACATGGCCACCGGAGGAAGCACCCCCCCGTGGGAAGAGCCAGGGAGACAGGCAGGCAGAGGCTGGCGGAGAGGGTGAAAGGAAAAGGAGGGGAGCTGTGCAGCGACACCTCAATTTAACGGATGACTCGCAGGCAGGAGCCCCTCTTCTTTTCTTCCAAATGGTCAAATTGGTATACAGGAGAGACTGTGGGAGCTGCATAAGCCTCCAGCCAAACCAAGTGGCAGGAGCATTTTGGGAACGGGGAAGCAAATTGGGTAACTGTATAATTTTGGAATGATGGCAGCAAGATACTAAAGCGTATCCTTAAAATCAGCACAGAGAAATTATGCCATTTGTGACCAAAAGACCCCCCTTTTCTCCACAGCCACTGCGTGATGCAATTTTTTGGACTACATGGGCCTTGGCCACCTTCAGCCTCTGTATTCCTTTATATAACAGTCATGTTGCGAGTGTCAAAACGTTTATTTGTGCCCTTAATGAATGGCATGGCTGGCATTGGAACTTGATTGCAGTGCCAAAACCAGAGCCATTTCCAACAGCTGAAGCCGTTTCCCCAGGTTAATCAGATTTGGTGAACTCTTCTGCTACTTTTTCAGAGCAAAACCGGCCCCTCTTCCCATGCTCGGCACCAGGTGCATTGGCCTCTTTGCGCTTTCCACACCGGGGGGGGGGGAACGGGATCTTTGATTCCAGCTGCCTTTTCTTCTTTCCCTGCAGTTACACCAAGGGGGTGGACATGTGGAGCATCGGCTGCATCTTGGGGGAGATGCTCCTGGGGAAGCCTCTGTTCCCAGGGACATCGACCGTCAATCAGATAGAGCAGATCCTGCATGTTATTCCTCCCCCCAGCGCAGGAGGTAAGAAAGGCGCTCTCTCTCTCTCTCTCTCTCTCTCTCTCTCTCTCTCTCTCTCTCTCTTTTTCTGTCTCTCTGTCTCTCTCTCTCTCTCTTTTTCTGTCTCTCTGTCTCTCTCTCTCTTTTTCTGTCTCTCTTTCTTTTTCTGTCTTTGTGTGTGTGTGTCTCTCTCTCTCTCTTTCTGTCTCTTTCTGTCTCTCTCTCTCTGTCTCTCTCTTTTTCTGTCTCTTTCTCTGTCTGTCTCTGTCTCTGTGTGTGTCTCTCTCTCTCTTTTTCTGTCTTTGTGTGTGTGTGTGTGTCTCTCTCTCTTTCTGTCTCTGTCTCTGTCTCTCTCTCTTTTTCTGTCTCTTTCTCTGTCTCTCTCTCTCTCTCTCTGTCTCTCTTTTTCTGTCTGTCTGTCTCTCTCTCTCTTTTTCTGTCTCTTTCTCTGTCTCTGTCTCTCTCTCTCTCTCTCTTTCTGTCTCTGTCTCTCTCTGTCTCTCTCTCTCTGTCTTTGTCTCTCTCTGTCTCTCTCTCTCTCTCTCTCTCTCTCTCTCTCTTTCTCTCTGCCTCTGTTCCTCAGTCTCTCTCTGTCTCTCTCTCTCTTTCTGTCTCTCTCTTTCTGTCTCTCTCTCTCTTTTTCTGTCTCTGTCTCTCTCTCTCTCTTTCTGTCTCTGTCTCTCTGTCTCTCTGTCTCTGTCTCTGTCTCTCTTTTTCTCTCTCTCTCTTTTTCTCTCTTTTTCTGTCTCTGTCTCTCTCTCTCTCTTTTTCTGTCTCTCTTTCTGTCTCTGTCTCTCTCTCTTTTTCTGTCTCTTTCTCTGTCTCTCTCTGTCTCTGCCTCTCTCTGTTCCTCTGTCTCTCTGTCTCTTCCTAGATCCAATGGGACAGGCAAGTGGAGCCATTCACAGCTCCCTTCTTGCTGTAAAAAGCTGGTGTGTTGTTGCGTCGCCATCCCTTTGTTCCTTCCTTTGCCGAAGGGAGACTGAGGGCTCCTGCCAGAATCTTACCCGTTTATGCCCTGATACGCCTTGTGGATCCCAAAGATTTTCTGTTGTTCCTCCTGCTGAGCCCAACTGGTGCGCAGGCAGGCAGGCAGGGAGCTTCTAAGAGTTTCACAAGCAGAGAGGGAAGTCCTGGGATGTGGGATTGATTTATTGAAGCTGGTGTTTCTGAAGAGCTTCCCATAACACCCGTCCCCCCCAGCTTGGCCCTGGGCTCCGGTCCCCCTAATAAGATGTCTATCTTCGTCCTCAACCAAGCTTCAGAAAGGAGGCCGAGGCTCCCTGGGATGGCCCACAGAGACACCTTGCCCCTCCCCTTTCTGGCTGTCGTAGGTGTCGGCCTTCTGGATGGTTTGGGAGCTGATCCCCATCTCAGCGTGGAAGGGTACCAGAGCATTGGGAAGGAACTCGGGTGTCATCTGGTTCAGGCCCCTGCTAAGGTTGGAATTTGTGGAGACGTTGAGGGAGCTGAGGGCGTCCATGGAGATCAGCCACCCAAACCTCTTGTGATCCCCTGGGTTTAGGGGAGCAGGAGGGTAAACGTCCACGAAACAAATCACCACCCATTGGCCAAACCACCAGATTCAGACTAGAGCACCACCGAGTGTCCCCTTTCTCCCCCCAACCGCAGAGACAGCGTGGACCAGCCTCACTTTGAAAAGGCTCCCGTGTCTGTGTCCCCAAGCTTAAGTGCAAAATAAGCCTCCTTTCTGGGTCTGGAGGTCATGAGACGACCCGGATCTGATAAGGCAGAAAGAATCTAGCCCAGGTGGCTTGGATGGGGAGGGGTGCAAGGAGCTCATCTGAGCGCAGTCCAAACCCAGAAGTGGAAGTGAAGAGGGGCCGTATAAAAATGGCCCCTGGGTCATCCCCTGGGTTCATAGCTTATTCGACCCAGTTTTCTAGGTTTCAGCTCTCTTCTGCACAGCCGACCCAACCAGCGGGACTAGCTTGCGGCTCGGTGTAGGAAAGGGTCAGGGAGACCGAGAGCAAGTGTGGCCGGTCTCCTTTAGCAGCCCTGGCGGAGCCGGTGGGAGAGGAAAGGGGAGGGACCAGTCGCCTCCTGAAGAATCCAATTAGTTTGGGCCCCTTCCTGACACGCCCTCCCGCTGTCCCTCTCTTGTAAGCCCTCCCTCTTAAGTCCCCAGCTGTGCCCGGCTCCGGCCTCTCGCCAGGGAGTTGACCTCTAGGGCCTTCCTAACCCCAAGGACTCCAGGGCTTTCAGGTCAGAACAAAAGGCGAACTACTGCCCCTGTCCGTTCAAGGTACCCACTGGAGGACGAGAAGACAAAAGAAGTCTGCAGGGAAGTTTATTTGTACTTCCTGGGTTTAGGTGCCACCTAAACCCCAAATTGCCCAGGCCCTGCTGGAAAAAACCGAAAAGGCTCTCCTCAGTGGTCCCTGAGGGGATCTTCTGATCCGTTGCTTTGCTTTGCAGATATAGAGGCCTTCCATTCTGACTACCAAGCCTCCGTTATCAACCGTGTGAGCTGCCAGTAAGTGTTTTCTTTTGCTGAATGGATCGCAGTTCCCGAGGAGGCACCTCTTCCACCTCAGGGTGAGAGGAGGGCTGGGAGCTCTCTGTGGAGTGGAACCGCAGCGTGCTTTCTGTCCCGGCTGCAGGCCCCAGCTGACTCTGGAGGAGCTCTTGCCTGCCTCCACCCCTCCCCAGGCCCTGGACCTTCTGAAGCGGCTCTTGGTGTTCAACCCCGAGAAGCGGCTGACGGCAGAGGAGGCCCTGGAGCACCCGTATGTGCAAAGGTGAGAGCCCCCTGGGGCTTCGCTACCGCTGTCTGATGTCTCTCAGACGGGCAAAGCCGTGTTCCGGCCTCCCTCGGCCAGCCTTGTGCTCACCTGGCCTTCTCCCGGCAGGTTCCACTGTGCTGCCAAAGAGCCTGCTCTCAACCACAGTGTGACCCTTCCTCTTGCTGATGACGTGCAGCTCTCGGTGGCCGAGTATCGCAATCAGGTTTATGAGGTAACCCCGCTGCCCCCGGTCCAGAGGAACCCTGAGGGGTCCTTCAGCTCTGCTCTGGCCCAGAGAGCTGAAGGAAGACGCCTGTCCCGAAGGAGTAGGAACTTTTGGGAGAGAGTGACTGTGACGCACTCGGGTTTGCCTTAATGGAGGCAAGCATGACTGAACAAAGTTGGGCTACTTTTCTAGAGTTTAAGAGCTGACTTCAACAAACTAAGAAAGAGAGTCCATGGATGGAAATCCTGAGGGGAAAACAGTTCAGGATGCTTAGGAAACCAAAAACGAGGTAACAAAGGACCAAATAAAATACCACAGAGAAAGAAATTGTGAGCAGCTCGGTTGCACAAAGGGCTCTCTTGCCAGTGGAGGATAGGCTTAAGATACAGAAGGATCTGGACAGACTTGAACATTGGGCACTGTCTAACCGAATAAAATTCAATGGTGAGAAAAGTAAGGTTCTACATTTATGCAAGAAAAACCAAATGCACAGGTACAGTATGGGTGGTACCTGGCTCAATAGTAGTAACTGTGAGAGGGATCTTGGAGTCCTAGTGGACAATCACTTAAATATGAGCCATCCATGTGCTACAGCTGCCAAAAAAAGCCAACACAGTGTTAGGCTGCATTAATAGAGGGATAGAATCAAGATCACATGAAGTGTTAATACCATTTTACAATGCCTTGGTAAGGCCACACTTGGAATACGGCATCCAGTTTTGGTCACCGCGATGTAAAAAAGATGCTGAGACTCTAGAACAGGGCTTTTCAACCGGTGGTACGCGTACCACTGGTGGTACGTGACCACCTGGCTGGTGGTACGCGGCATCGCCTTCCTCCCCCCCGCGTCGCTTTCCTCCCCCCTCTGCTCCTTCCCAGCTCACTTGTTTGTGGAAAATGCTGCTTGGCAGCAGCCTGCACAAACCCTACCGAATGTGCCCTGCAGGGGGGGTGTGAAGAGCGCAGGTGCAGAGCAAGACCCTGCCCTCCCCAGGGACTCATTGTGCAGCAACCGGATTGACTTCTTCTCGTGCATGCAGGTCAGCGGGATCCGTATCGCCCTTCCCCTCCCTCTTCTTACTTCACAACAAGCGCTAGCCTGATAGCCCCTTCTGGGCTGGGAGAAGCGCATGCCGTTGCCTGTATTGCAGGCTTAAAGTCTGAAACAGCCAGGCTCTTGGCTGACTGATTGCCTTTCCCCCCCCCCCCAACTTTTCTACAAACTGGGAATCATGGCTTAGTGGGGGCCTGGAGCGGGTCTCAGAGTGCCCGTGTGCCCCTTGGATCAGACAAGAGAGCAATCGACTGTAGCCTTTGGGGAGCAAAAGCCAGTCGGGGCTGATCTCTTCCTGCCCGGGAAGGCTGGAGAAGCCAGGAGAAAGTCAGTTATTAGAGGGGGGGAAAGTTACTTCTTCATTTAAGGCAGTTTTGGAAAAGTTAACTTTTGCTGGAAAGGAAAGCAAGTTTTTTCCCCCTTTTCTTGGATCGCCTTCTTTGCTTGGGCCTCTGTTGCCTGTATCTCAGGCTTAAAGTCTGAAACAGCCAGGCTCTTGGCTGACTGATCGCCTTTCTCTTTTCGGGAGATGCACCTTTGCAGCGGGATTCCCCCTCCGATAATTATCGGAGGTTTGAACGGCAAGCTGCTCCCGGAGCGTAAAAGTAGAGGGCCCAGACGGCGAGAGTGACGCAGCTCTCCGACTCTCTGCTTCAGGGGAAAAAATGCAGGGGGAAAATGACTGGGAGAAGTAGCCGGTTCGTAACATACCTGCAGGAGGTGAACCGGCCACATCCCCGCCCTGCCTGTGTGCTCTCCTCTGTGTGCGCACAGGCAGGGCCATGATGTGTTGCTGCCTGCCAAAACCAGGCTGGGGTCTGGGCGGCATAGCACAGGAGGAAGGGAGGAAGTAAGGGACAATGGGAGCTGCAGCACTGCAGCCTTCCAGTCCCATGAGCGTCCTTCGGCTGTGCTCCAGGCCTCGCATTTATCAGCTGTTCGGCAGCCGAGAAACAGCCTTTCAGCTTCAGGCCGCTCCGTGGGCCCTAGACTCTCTGCTTTGGCCTCCCACCCATCAGCTGTTCGGTGGCTAAGAGTAGGAGCCGCTCAGCTGTTGGTCTTCTTTGCCGCCTGCACTCATCCTCAACCCCTCCCCCCTGCCAGTTCATGTCGAGCCTGCGGGGGCTTGACAGGGAGAGAGGGAGGGAAGGAGGAAGGGACAAAAGGGGAGGTGAAGGAAAGAAGGAAGGAAGAGACAATGGGAGAGAAGGAGGGATAAAGAGGGAGGTGAAGGAAAGGAAAGAAAGAAGGAAGGGACAATGGGCGAGAGGGAAGGAGGAAGGGACAAAGGGGGAGGTGAAGGAAAGAAGGAAGGAAGGGACAATGGGAAAGGGAGGGAAGGAGGAAGGGACAAAGGGAGGAGAAGGAAGGAAGGGACAATGGGAAAGGGAGGGAAGGAGGAAGAGACAAAGGGAGGGGAAGGAAAAGAAAGAAGGAAGGAAGGGACAAAGGGAGGGGAAGGAAAGAAGGAAGGGACAATGGGAGGGAAGGAAGGCAGGCACTCACCCCAGTGCATCCCCCTCCACCAGAGACCCACGGATTCCCCCCCACAGGCACCCTGCAACCTGAGTGATCAGTTGGCCACGCCCCCCCACGGTTGATCACATGACCCTGGGACACTGTGAAGGTGATAAGTATGAATCAGTTGCCAAGCAATCCACATGTAAATCCCAAGACCCTGGGGATGCAGCAATGGTCATAAGTGTGAAAAATGGTCATAATTCGCTTGTAACTTCAAACAGTCACAAAGTGAATTGTTGTAAGTTGAGGACTACCTGTACTTTCTCATTTTTTCCTTTTTTTTGGGGGGGTCAAGTTTTTGATACCCTACTGGGCGAGTGTTGGTACTCGGATATTGCCTTATCCGAAAAGTGATACAATGGGTGAAAAGGTTGAAAAGCCCTGCTCTAGAAAGAGTGCAGAGAAGAGCAACAAAGATGATTAGGGGACTGGAGGCTAAAACATATAAGGAACGGTTGCTAGAATTGGGTATGTCTAGTTTAACGAAGAGAAGGATGATGGGTGACATGATAGCAGTGTTCCAATATCTCAGGGGCTGCCATAAAGAAGAGGGAGTCAAGCTATTCTCCAAAGCACCTGAAGGCAGGACAAGAAGCAATGGATGGAAACTAATCAAAGAGAGAAGTAACCTAGAACTAAGGAGAAATTTGGAATAACCTGCCTCCAGAAGTTGTGAATGCTCCAGTACTGGAAGTTTTTAAGAAGAGACTGGGCAACCATTTGTCTGAAATGTTATAAGGTCCCTTCCAACTCTATTATTATTGCTATAATAAAAAGGGCAAGTATAATAGATGGAAAGAGGGGCTTGTAACTAGAGCAGAATTCCAGCAAATAATAGTTTGAGTGTGCAAGGACAGTCTGGAAGGCTTAGAGTAAAATTTTCAACAAATGCCAAAGTAAAAACAAAGTTTCTTATAAATAAACCTATAAAGGTTTCTATATAAGGAGCAGGAGGAAAGTATGTCTGGCCTTTTGAAGATGAGGATTAGGGAGGACATGATAACTGCCTTCCGGGGGCTGTCAGAGAGAAGAAGAGATTGACTTATTCTCCAAAGCCTCAGAAGCCTTCAGGACAAAAAGTAATGGGTGGAAGCTTGTTAAAGAGATGAGGAGAAATTTTCTGACAGTGAGAACAATGAATCAGTGGAACATTTTGCCTCCAGTGCTCGTGCACTGGAGGTTTTCAAAAATAGACCGGACAGCCATTTGACTGGGATGGAATAAGGTTTCCTGCCTTCAGCAGGGGGTTGGGCTAGAAGACCTCTGAGGTCCCTTCCAGCCTATGATTTTATGTTCTATGTTATACAAACAAATGGTGCCATTAGTCTGAATAAGAAAGGGCTCCTTCTACCTGAAATTTGGGAGAGTCAATTAATGTAGACAATTATACATGTCGCTACAAAATTCCCTGTCTGTATGTGCCAAGAAACTCTTTTACCCAGCATAGTTTGAATTTGCTCTGTTGTTGAAGGAAATGATGCCATGGCTATAGCCACACCAGAACAGAAGTCTGTCCAAGCGATGTCAGAGGCAAATAGGGATGGTCCATAACAGAAGAGTTGGAGGGGATCTTGGAGGTCTGAAGCAGGAGACGTTATGTCATTCTGGACAAATGGCTGTTCTCCATAAAGGCCAGGTGTGAGGTGGGGGGAGACACAGCTCTGAGCCTGCCTGTCATTCACAGAGTGCATGAAAAGAGCCCCCCCCCCCGGGAAGTTTTTCAAAGGACTAAAAGGAAGCTTTTGGGTGAATCAAGTTGGGAGGCCCTCCATAGTTAGTATTTTACTCACTGGCTGGATTCCACTTAAAAGGAATTTTTTCCCTTCGCTTTCTCCTCCCACTCTAGAATTTCCAGTTTTAGTCTTCCCTGTCATGTTACCTTGGCTCCTTTGGCCAGAAAAACAAATTTTGAGACCCTTCCTTCCTTCCTTCCTTCCTTCCTTCCTTCCTTCCTTCCTTCCTTCCTTCCTTCCTTCCTTCCTTCCTTCCTTCTCTCTCTTCTTTCCAGTTGATCTTGGAATGGAAGGCCAGCAGCCAAGCACAGAAGCAGCAGCCCCTCCATCGAGATCATCTTCCGTCTGGTTCCTCGGAGGCCAGTTCCCCTGTCGGAGCCCACTGCCCGATGCAGGGAAGGACACAGCCTCTTCCATCCCATGGGTCTACTCCACCTCTTGCAGCAGCTTCCCAGCAGAGAGCAAATGAGGCAAGAAACCCTTGCCCAAAGCCAAAGTTGAGCTCCACCGTCTGCAGTCCTACAGCTAATGTAGCTGCCCAAAGTAAGTGCGTTCTCCTTGCAAAGGTACACTAAAATATTGCAAGAATCTGCCTTCCTCCCACAAATGAATACATGTTTCCGTAGGCAGATTAATTACATTCCAAGATGTCCCAAAGTCCTTTTTCAAAAGGCAACTGGACTTTGTTTTTTCCTTGAAGATGTTTCACTTCTCATCCAAGAAACTTCTTCAGTTTTGACTAAATGGTGGGGAATGGAAGGATTTATATTCCTTGCAGTCATCTGGTCATTAGTACTCTTTCTGAGAGTCATTGAGGCCACTTGGAGGCTTATCTGCCCTCGGGGTCATCTAAATAGTGCAAATGGGTGTGGAGCCTTCTTGGAACTGCTGAAAGGACAGTGTTGTAAACAGGAGATAGGTGGTGTCGGATCCTTCCCCCTCTGTTGAGAGAGGGCTGTTCAATTTTAACGTAGATGGCTTCTTTGACCCCTCTTTCAAACCAATGGTCCTCTCTATCCAAAATGTGGACTTTACTGTCTTGGAAAGAGTGGCCTTTGCCTTTCAAATGAAGATGGATTGCTGAATCTTGTCCTGATGGGTTTGTTCTCCTATGTTGCGCCATGCATTTATGAAGTCATTGTTTTATTTCCGCAATGTACAGATCTGCACATGGCTCACTGCATTGTACTGCATACACAACATTGCTCAGTTTGTGTCTGGGTGTTTTATTCTTGGGGTGGAAAAGCTTCTGCCTTAGTGTATTTGGCGGGGTTAAAGTGTAATTGTATATTGTGTTGGTTGAAAATCCTCCTGAGCTTTTCAGATATTCCTTCAATGCATGGCATGACAATGTCACTTCATTTGTTGTTGTCTTCTTTGTCTGCTATGGAGGAGCCTTTTTTTGGATCCAATGAAGGCCCACTCAGGACAGCTACAAGTTCTGAAGGCTTCCTCTTTTTCTTTTCCATTTTTGCTGGTAGGCAAACGTCCAGCCCAGTGGTTTAGGGGTCCGATCACTCCTATTTTGTGCTCCAGTGGGTGGTGAAAATGAAAATGTAGATATTGATTGTGTGTGTGTGGGGGGGTGTTCTGTAAACTTCTGTGTTAAGGATTCCATCTTCCTTAATATGTGCTGTACAGTCCAGGAAGGCCAAAAAAGACAGCACAGCACTAGGCTGCATTAACAGAGGGATAGAATCAAGACCACGGGAAGGGTTAATACCACTTTACAAGGCCTTGGTAAGGCCACACTTGGAATACAGCATCCAGTTTTGGTCATCACGATGTAGAAAAGATGCTGAGACTCTAGAAAGAGTGCAGAGAAGAGCAACAAAGATGATCAGGGGACTGGAGGCTAAAACATACAAGAAACGGTGGCTGGAATTGGGTATGTCTAGTTTAATGAAGAGAAGGATGAGGGGGGACAGGATAGCAGCCTTCCAGTATCTCAGGGGCTGCCCCAAAGCGCCTGAAGGCAGGACAAGAAGCAATGGATGGAAACTAATCAAGGAGAGAAGCAACCTGGAACTAAGGAGAAACTTCCTGACAGTGAGAACAATTAACCAATGGAACAACCTGCCTCCAGAAACTATGAATTCTCCAACACTGGAAGTTTTTAAGAAGAGACTGGACAGCCATTTGTCTGAAATGGTATAGGGCAGACATGTCACACTCGCGACATCATGTGACATCATGCGATGTATCGGGACAGTTTTGCCATTACCGGCAATGGGGTGGGTGTGGCTTCTGCATGACGCGTCCGGCCTACAGGCCAGCAGTTTGACACCCCTGATATAGAGTTTCCTGCCTGAACGGGGTTGGACTAGGTGACCTCCAAGGTCCCTTCCAACATCATCATCATCATCATCATCATCATTATTATTATTATTATTTTCCTTAACATCTTCCCAAGTGAGCTTAATGTATCTGTCCACAGAGTTGATGTGTTTGGTGAAGCTTCCAATTCCTGTGCTTGAGTCTTGACCCAGGTATCTCATCCATATATCTATGCCAGCGAATGGCTGGAGTTCCTGTGAAGGAGTTTAGGGCTTTGGTTTCTCTCATGAGATTGACCACAAGGGGGGGCACAGGTGAGCCCATGGCGCAGCCGTGTTTTTGCCTGTAGAAACCGTCACTGTATTTAACATAGGCAGTGATCAGGCTGAGGTTGGTTCTGCCGCCCAATGGGCGGCCCTGTAGCAGCCGTTCCTTCACTACCGTGATGGCCTCAGTTCTTGGAATGCAGCTGAAGAATGCAGGCTGTGCTAGAAGGTCGAGAAACACCAGACAGCCCTGTGGGAATGAGACGTTCAGCAGAGTGATGGCAGGTGGGGGGGGGGGAAACTGTCCAGTTGTTTTGGTCTGCAATACCCTATAGCGCCTTCCTGAGGGGAGGAGTTGAAACAGTTTTGTGTCCAGGATGTGAGGAGTCTGCAGATAACTTCTCAGCCATCCTTGACTTAAGAATTTCAGCTCAGGTAGCCCTCACTTACCAGTTCCAATTGTTACCTCGAGGATGTACACCAGCCTTGATGGGGCACTCTCGGAGGTTCCCTGCAAGAAATGGGCAAAGGCAGGGCAAATGCTATCTGATTTAATTTAACGTCCACTAACACTAGACTCATCCAGTAGCCTTCTTCTTCATAGTTACCCTGCTTGTTCTCTCTGACACATAACGGTTCCAATTTACTGACTGCTTTGTAAGTGCTGCAGGAGCTGCACCCATGATTGCTGGGGATTATGGAGCCTCAGGTCGTCTATTTCTGCCTGTGATTTGCCCATCTTTCCCTTTTTCATGTTTCTCCCCTTTCCAAAGATTTCCTGCCTGCTGGCAACGTGGCGATGGGTCCGCCTCCCTCAGGACTTCGGCAGCATCGGAGAGCAGCAGGCACATCCGCTCTTTGGGACGTGAGTTGCTCCGCCTTTTGCTCTTGTTGATCTAGACCTTGCAGGACTGCAGGCATCCACTGGGACCGCAGGAGCGCTTGGTCCTTTCCAGCTGCCAGGCTGAGTCCCTGGGGGCTGGCACACACTTCACCCGAGGTGATCCTGGCTCCTTCCCACTTTGATTCCAGAGTGCTGGAAACCTCTTTTTCCTGTTGATCAAGGGTTCTCGGCTCATCAAATGCTCGGAGGGGCTTCCGAGAAGGGGGCCCAGTGCTTCCTCCATGCTGCATCCTGGAAGGGCCTCCCCCGCACAGCCATGCAAGCGTCCCCCCTTCCTCTTGGGCTGCACAGGGAGTGAGAAGCTCTGCCCCCCAGGAAGGGCCGTGTACATAAGGCCCACGGCATACAGCTGTTCCACAGGGGGGAGGGTGTTTCTCTGGAAGGAGCCCCCAGCTCTTAGCCCGCCTGATGGCAAAACGATCCCTGCGTTGCTGACAAACAGCTTTCAGGTGTTTCTCCCTTTGGACGGGCTGCCTGGTTCTTTGTATGCTCCTCTGTCTTTTTTCCTCTCGTCCCTGTTCCGGTGGGGCTGCCTTTGGTTTCCTTTAACCTGGGTGGTGCTGGGAGAGTTGTGTGAGGCCAGTTGTGTTTCAGAGTCATGCAACGATGCGAAGAGTGGGTGAATCTCTTTCTGTGATCTGCCTCAGCAGGTGCCGAAGGGGCCAGGGGCGGCAGGCCAGGCCACGTCCCCCTTCAAGCCTCTTTCCTTGCTCAGCCAGGCTCAGGAAGCAGCCCTCCACCAGCATCTGATGAGGAAGGGGGCTGTTCCCAGCAGGGCTGCCGCTGGGCTGGTGAGTGAAGCTTTTCCTGACCCATAATCCTGGGCTTGGCTGCCTTCCAGCTGGAGGGCTCCTCCGGGACAGCCCAGCTTCACTTTCCCTGGCCGGAAGAAGCTGAGGGGCGGGTGGCGAAACACCTCCCTCCCTCCCTCCCTGTGCGGTGCTTGTGTGGGATCAGTGGGGGAGGGAGGGCACTACGTTCTCCCCTTGAGCTCCTGGAAGAAGGCAGGATGTGATTGTGCTAAACAGTGTAATGATCCTGGCCCGCTCTTCCAATTGCCCGCCTTTTTGAGAGGTTGCCCCAGTCCGCCCCTTCGATTCACCCCGAAACCCCCCCTTTGCTCTTGGCAGAACCCACAGAACCCCGAATCCCATGGCAGGGAAGAGGCTCATTTCTTTCTGAAGCCCTGCAGGAAAATGTTCCAGGTTACAGCAAACGTCGGAATAGCTGGTGACCCCAAGGCCCACCTGGGCAGCTACTCCCAGTCCTATGGGACCATCTGCAAGTCTGCCCTTCAGAATCTGCCTCTCTCGGGCGCTTCTCGCCCAGCGCTCGCCCCCAGCCCCCAGGAGCTCTGAGCGCGGCCTCTGGTCGTCTGCAGCAGGGAGGCGGGCCGGCCTCCTCCCTCGCTGGGGCAGGCAGTGTGCATCACTCGGTCACATCTGTCATGAGAGAAGGAAGCGCTGGCAGTGTGAGCCTTTGCCTGGTTCCAGCCAAGTGGCGGCTTTTTTTTTTTAATGCCCAGGCTAGCCGACCTGTGTGTTGGGCCCTCTCACAATCAAATAAGCCTCCCCTCCCTTTTATTCTGAGATAAAAGACTTTTCCACATGGAGTAAAGTCAGCAGTGCCTGTTCTTTATTCAGGGTAGGCTGGGTTTTGAGCCCCGGGTACTGGGTTGGTCTTGACCATGCGGCTGGTTCCCAGCTCTTGGAGTCCTTGCCCAGCTGGGGAGACCTCCGCTGTCTGCTTCCAAGGACCTTTTCTGAAGAGCTCTGCTGTCTTCTCCCTCCATTCCCATCTGATCCTGCAGGAGCCCCTCCAGGAGGCCCCTGGGAGGTTGGGAGGGGATTCCAAGGCAGGCGGGGGTGGGGCATTTAGCCGGGGGGGGGGCACTGCTGCACCCTACTGGCACCTGCATGGGAATCGACACCAGGCATGGTGGAAAGAAGTGAGGCTGCATTTGTCCATTTGTCTGCCAGGAGGGTGCCTTTCCAGAACGGGACCCAACTTAATCCATGGGCAGAAGTTTGGAAAATGGGGTGCAGAGAAAGTGGCACATCCCCCAAACCACGCCGTCCTCCCTCCTTCCTTCCTGGCCCTGCGACCGGCCCTGCGTTCCCAGGGTCTGCAGACCAGCATCGGGGACTTTTCGTAAAAAGGTTGGGAAAGGGTTCAGAAGCTGAGCAATGGACGCTCCTTCCCCTACTTTGACCTAGAGACTCCTACAGCAGGACGGGGCCGTGTAGGCCCAAGCCTAGCGCTGCCTTCTGTCTGGGAACGGGTGGAGGCCACTTAAACCCATCCAGCGTGGGGGAGGCTATCCTCTCTCTGGGTCGTGGGCTCCGGTGCTCAGTTGCTGCAGTCACATTTCCTCATGGCTGTCTTGCTGTGGGTAAGTTGCCTTGGGGGCTCTTTTTGGACCCAAAGACCACTCAGAAATCATGGCAGGATAGACCACTGCTGTCACCTCTGCAGCCAGTCAGAAACGGGGCCCTTTCAGCTGAGAGGCCAGAGCACATTTCATTGGGGGGGGGCTTTAGTGGTTTTGGCAAGGAGGAAAAGGGATCCCAGATGCTCCTGGTCTCAGGAGTCCATGAGGGAAGAGAAGTGTCGAGACCAACCTACCCCACTTTCCTACAAACTGGGCCTTGTTAGCCTAAAGAAGGGAAGGCCAGAGTTGTTCCTGAAGAGGGAGAGACTTAAAAGAGGGAGATCCAAATTCAAAATGAGGGATTTCTGGCCCAGCCTCCTGAAGATCAGAATGGGAAAAACTCACAGCCAGCCGACTTGCCCTGGTTGTCTCACGCCGGCTAACTCGCCGCAGGACAAACTCACCATGGAACAATTCAGTGCAGGATAATCAAGAGAGGAACGAGTGAATTGTGGACTCCATGCTCTGGCTCACCCCAACCTTGAGGACTTCTAACTTGAGAAGCAATAGCACTTAGAGTTATATACCGCTTCATACTGCTTTACAGCCCTCTCTAAGCAATTTACAGAGTCAGCATATTGCCCCTCCCCCAACAATCATGGATCTCAGAAGGATGGAAGGCTGAGTCAACCTTGAGTCGGTCAGGATCGAACCCCTGGCAGCAGTGAGTTAGCCTGCAATGCTGCCTTCTAACCACCGTGTCGCCACCAGGGCTCATAGTGGTGAGAAGGTTCAAACCTAAAGCAAGACAAGGCCCGCTGCAATTAATGGTCCCTCTCTTGAGTTATCCAGTGTTGAATTGTGTCACGGTGAGTCGGCCAAGGCTAGTCGGCCACAGTGAGCTGTCCTAAGCCTCTGGAGACGATGGAGGTGCTCCCATCCTTTGTGTCTGAGAAAGGGTTCTTGCAAACTTGGTGGTGCATTTTTATAAAATGCACTTGCCAAATGCAGGAAAGAGAAGCAATTTACTTCGGAGAAGCTGGATCTGGCAGAGGGTTTGGCATCTGATCGGCATCTTAAAACTTGCACCATGGGTTTGTTTACCATCACATATTTATCTGTGACATCTTTCTTTCTCCAAAATGTAGTCCCAAATGATGGAGGTTTTAAAAATAACATTTATTTTAACATTGGTTCCAGTGACCCCTTTCACTAGGCAATTTGTCAGGGAAACTTGCAATAAAACCACGGACCAATATAACCCCAGAACATTTAGAACTGAACAAACAGCCATAAAATACTATATTGCCGATACCTGCCACCCCCAAAGGTAAGAGTGGCCCTGCTTGTGGGTGTCAGCTCAGCCTCGCTAGCACGGGATTGTGCTGCTTTCTGTAGAAGAGAGCCACCTGGCTCCTCGCCTGGGGAAGGCACCTTCTGTGGCTGGCTGCAGGGGCCAGGAGAGAGCCCTCGGCAGTGGGGCCTTCAAGTACTGAGCGTGGGAAAGGGAGGGGCGGCCATCCTTTCTGGCTGGCAGCTGCTTGAGAAGGGCCCGGATCCCTGCATGCTCAGCAGGCTGGCCCCTGCAGAGGAAGGCGAGGCAAGCTTGCCCTTGGCTGGCGGAGTGCATCGAAAACTGCTGCCGGGAGTGATGACCTGGCGAGACCCACGATGCTGCTGCAGCCAGGTGCGCCTGCGTGCGAGGTCTTGCCTGCACTGGTGTTCTTGGAAAAGGCGGTGCTGCTGCTCCCGCAAGTGTCTCAGAAAAGCCTTCAGCGTTTGGGCTTGCTTAATGAGGCCAAGAAGCTCGTTCTGCAGGCTCCAGTTGTCGGCTTTCACTTGCTTGGTGTGTTGGATGAGGCTGCGTACAGCCGCCTCCTCTGCCAGTTTGGCCAGAATTTGGACCTTCTGCTGAGCATTCATCTCGTACTCGGCCGCCTGGTGAAGGAACCGGCTCTTGACTCTGTGCATCTGCTCCGCGTGCTGAATTTTGGTGATCAGCAGCTCCTTCTCCAGCTCCCGTATCTGGGTCAGATGTCGAAGCTGCAGATCCTGCCAGGGCTGCAGCTCAGCCACATCCCTGTTCAGGAGGAAAAGCTTGTTTTCCAGCTCCATGAGCTGGCGCCTCACCTCCTTCTCTCTCTCGGCACACTGAGCGGCCACCTCTGCTTTCTGCTTCTGGATCTGAGAGAGGTCAGACCGATTCTGGTCATTCAGGGAAACGATGGCATTCTGACAACGGACGGTTCTTCGGGTTAAGTAAGAGAGGTAGACCTTGCTGGCTTCTCGCACCTGCTGGGCTTCCTTGTCCAAATACTCATTTTCCGACTGGAAGTGCCGCAGCCGCTGAGAGTAGGTGACGACGTGTTCAGAGAGGATGTCGAGTTCCTTCTGCAAGCGCTGCTCCTTCTCACTCACAAAAGGTGCAGTGCCCGAAGGGCCCACAGCCCCCTCCTTGCCTTTGCTTTTCTTCCCTTTGGGCTTTTTCTTTGGGGCCATCTTGGTTAGGCCAAAGGGTGGAACTTCAGATGCTGTTGAAACAAAGAGCGAGAATGGCAAACCGTCACATCTAGAGATTCACAGTAACGATGTTTTCAGCCCCCCAGAGCCCCCTTGGGGGGGGGGTTGAGTTGCATTATGTCTTGCCTCACCAAATTATGGATTCTGCCTTGCAGCAAAACAGACAAACTCACAAAAACTCCTCAACAACTTCTCTGAACCTGTTCTAATTTCTCTGAATCATTCTTAAAACATGGCATTCAGAACTGAACACAGTACTGAAGTTATTTAACTCGGAACAGAATAAATTGGAATAAGTTTTTTCTCCATGGAAAACTCCACGGTTTCTCCAGAGTCACACGGTTTGAGTGGGGTAGCATAATAAGTCTAAAAATTTGTGTTTTACACTTCTATTGACGAGGCCTAAAGTTCCTTTTTCATTGTTTTGCAGCCACGTCTTACCGCTGACTCATATTCAGTTCACAATTAACTACTATTCCAAGATGTTTTTCACAAGTGCCAAGTCAAATAACTCCCATCCTATATCCAAGCATTTGATTTCTGTTTCAAATGAAGAATTTTGCATTTATTCTGAAGCTTTCAGACGTGACTTTCTCCTGTAGTAATAGTTACTTCACCTAGGATTTTTGTCCTCTCAACAACACATCAAGCAATTGCTGCAAGTTCAACAGCAACATGCTTCAGTGGTCACAGTTGAGCAAGATTTGTTTCAGGCCCACTTGTTGCGCAGCAGTGGCCCAGTGGTTAGAAGGCAGCATTGCAGGCTAACTCTGCTGGCTGCCAGCAGCTCAGCAGTTCGAGTCTCATCGGCTCAAGGTTGACTCAGCCTTCCGTCCTTCCGAGGTCGGTAAAATGAGGACTCAGATTGTTGGGGGCAATAAGCTGACTCTGTAAACCCCTTAGAGAGGGCTGTAAAAGGCCCTGTGAAGCAGTATATAAGTCTAAGTGCTATTGCTATTGATAAATATTTGAAGATTTGTGAGCAAAGCCTCTTTCTGAGAAACAAAGTATTCTTTTAATAATAATGCCTCAAAAGTCATCGCACATAAATCAATGATGAAAGTACCCCTCCACCAGTAGGTTTGATCCCAAGATAAGTAATGGAAGATGTGATAAGGAATCAGCATTCATTTTTCCAGAAATGTGCTGCGTAACAAGATCATAAGGTTTCAATCTCCAACCGAGACAGTTGGAGGTGAGATGGCAAAATGTGCCTTTATTTATTTATTTATGAGACTTATATACCGCTTTAAATGCAAGCACTCTCTAAGCGGTGTACACCAGTAAGCAATGTATATATATATATATATATATATGTTTTCTGAGGTTTCCGCTGGTATTTGTATGTAGGTCTTTGGTTGTTCGGGTTTTCTCCCACGTAAAATTGGGCGAAACGTCGCCAAGACACTTCCAATTTTACGTGGGAGAAAACCCAAACAACCAAAGACCTACATATATATATATATATATATTTACATTGCCCCCAACAATCTGGGTCTCATTTTACCTACCTCGGAAGAATGGTAGGTCAACCTTGAGCTGGTGAGATTTGAACCGCTGACCTGCTGAACACAGTCAGCTAAAGTGGCCTGCAGTACTGCACTCTAACTGCTGCGCCACCTCGGCTCAACTTTAGCTGAACAAATCATGGACATGAGTGATTTGTGATCTCTGAGCAATACAAATGGATTAGAATGTTCTGTAGCCCACACATTTCCTATAATTTCAGAGGTTTTCCCAGAGAAGAATGTGAATGGTTGGCATTCACAACAGGCAACTTCGATCTACCTCAGTCTGCAACGAGTGGTATCCAGTCCCACAGGACTGGCATCAGTCACCAAAAAGTAGGCACATAAGTCAGGCAGGGTTCCTTCATTTACACAGCTTTCAGCTGTTGAAAGGTAGAATCGGTTCCCTGCAGACCAGAGCCAAGTGGCTCCTATTATAATCAGCAGGCATAGTGGTTCCAAAATATCTGCATAATTAGCACTATATATTTCACAGGACAGCCACAGATAGCTAGATAAGAATGCAGCAAATCCAGCTTCTCAGGAGTGGGGCTTGCATAATAGTTTCTATCTTCTCCTGAACAGATTTAATTTCCTAGGCTGTGTCCTTAAAAGCCAATCTCTTCAAGATCCAAATGACATTTAACTTAAGCCTTCTTTTCTTTAGGTTAAAATCATTTTTCTACTATCACTCAAAAGCTACTCTCAGTCGATCCCAGAGCACAGTCACTATGCATACAATGCTAATACCCACACCAGATAACCCCAGAAATATAGACAGAACGAAGTCTGTTGCCTTTTGGTGCATTCTGTGATTGAATAGACTTTTACAGAAACTGCAACAACCATGGTGCATCATATTGTTGGATGTCAGCACCCACCCTCCTAGAGAAGGAAATATTTTGGGGAATATTAAAAAAGACAAAATATTATATTTTCCCAAAGGAATAATGAAAAATCTTAGCAAAGACAACCCCAAGTTTGTCTCCCGCACAGTTGATGCTGCGGGGCGTGGGCAGAGGGTGTGGCCACCATGGCGCTGCTGGGCTGCCTGGGCGATCTGCGGCAGGCCCTGGAGGCGGTGAGTGGCCCTGTGGGCAGATGGGGTGGGGAAACGGGGCAGGGGCAGGGGGTGGAGTGGGGGTGGGGCCAGTTTTGGGGCACTCAGTCTCTAAAAAGTTTGCCATCACTGTTCTATAGTATTGATTTCTTATGATTTTTTTCCACATTAGGTGGACATGACCATTTTGTAGCTTAAATCTAATTTTTTGTATCATGAGATACCTTTTTCTTCTGAGGCAGAACTGGGTGCTGATTTTTTTTTCTAGGATATTTCATTTTATATCCTTTTTACATAAAGAGCAATACTTGTCCTTATCTTCTGCTCAGTGTTTTTCCTATCCTATTTTTAAAGTTTCTATTCAGAAATGACTATATCCCACAAAATCTCTGTTATATGTTCCGCTAAATTGGCATCTGAATCTCACAATTTAGCAATTTACTTTGCGGAAAGAAAAATATTCAGGTCCAGTTCCAAGCTGGGAATAAACAAAATGGAGGCTGTTTGGAAAGAAGGTTCTGTTTATTGAAGAACTTAACCAACAGCATGCGGTTCTGGGACAGCTGACCCAATGGGGTTGGGATAGATGAGCTTTTATACATTATTTGAGGTTTTGTGTTTGGAATGCTCCAGGAGGTTGTGCAATGAGGTGGGCTTTTGTGTTCTAAAAGAGTGTTGGGTAACTTCTATTGTGGCTGATGACTATGTCCTGTGTTGGATTTTTTGTGTGAGGGGTTGCTGGTTCTAATCATATCACTCTGCTATGGTTCGTCATCAAATCTTGCTCCAAGGGATTTCGAAAGATCCTGTCTTGAATGGGCTTCTGTCGGTAGTATTTGTTTGCCAAGGAATGGGGCCACAGTCTTTCTGAATACTCAACGAGGAGCCCTCAATGGCACTACATCCACATGCAGAGAAGTAAGCAGTGGGGTAGCATAAGGTTCCGTCTTAGGCCCAGGACTCTTCAATAACTTCATCAATGACTTAGATGAGGGAATAGAAGGGGAACTCATCAAATTTGCAGATGATACCAAATTGGCAGGAGTAGCCAACACCCCAGAAGACAGACTCAGGATCCAAAAAGATCTTGACAAACTTGAACAATGGGCCCTATCCAACAAAATGACTTTCAATGTGGAGAAAAGCAAAGGCTTACATTTAGGCAGGAAAAACCAAAGATATAAATACAAATTAGGTGAGACCTGGCTTAAAAACAGTAACTATGAGAGGGACCTTGGAGTCCTAGTGGACGATCACTTGACTATGACCCAGCAGTGTGCAGCAGCAGCCAAAAAAGCTAATACAATCCTTGATTGTATAAACTGGCATAGAATCAAGATCACGCAAAGTATTATTACCGTTTTATAAAACCATAGTAAAACCCCACTTAGAATACTGCAGCCAATTATGGTCACCATATCACAAAAAAGATGTTGAGAGTTTGGAAAAAATTCAGAGAAAAACAACTAAGATGATCAAAGGCCTGAAGACTAAAACATACAAAGAACGGCTACGAGACTTTGGTTTGGCCAGTCTAAAGAAAAGAAGGAATAGGGGAGACAGGATAGCAGTTTTCCAGTATCTGAGGGGCTGCCACAAGGAAGAGGGGGCCAGGTTGTTCACCAGAGCACTAAAGAGAAGGACGAGAAACAATGATTGGAAATTGATCAAGGAGAGAAGCAACCTGGAATTAAGGAGAAACTTCCTGACAGTGAGGTCAATCAACCTGTGGAACAGCTTACCCCCAGAAATTGTGGGCGCCCCATCACTGGAGATTTTTAAGAAGAGGCTAGACAGTCACTTGTCTGAGATGGTATAGGTCAGTGATGGCGAACCTTTTAGAGTGCCCAAAAACCACCCCACCACCTAGCCCATCCTATCGCTCTGCCACCTGCCCCTCTCCATCCCCGCTCCATCCCTCGCTTTGCCCGCCTGCTCACAGGGCCCCCACCGCCTCCATGGCCCACCGCAGATTGCCCAGGTGGCCCTGCAGCACCATGGTGGCTATGCCCTCCACCCGTGCCCAGCAGCATTATCTGAACATATTGGGGCGTGAAGGTGGAATCTTGTCCCCGCTGCCATGCCCTTGGCTGTGGTGTTCTGCACAGGCCCCACCCGGGGGCAACTCTCCGGGGGGGCTGCTGGTAAGGAGAGGGGGTGGGGGGAGATGGAGCTGTGGAGCTGAGTGCCATAGGTTCGACATCTCTGCTATATAAAGATGGTGGGCTATAAGTTTCTGGAATGTTCTCTAACTTGATTATCTTGTAATTGTTATCCTCTACATATGAAGTATATTATAACTCAAAGCATTTAAGTGAGCCAGAGCAAGAGATAAAATCCATCATAAGAATAAATACAGTGTCTTTACTTCAAAGGTACCCAGTATTTTGCAGCAAGAACCAGGAGTGAGCATGGTCAGTTTGTTGCTTTCAACCCTGAGATCAGGTTGAGTTAAGTTATTCCTATTTTATTCTCAGTATCAGTTATGATTATGATACTTTTATTTCTCATAGACTGGTATGGCAAAATAAATTTCTCGACTGTCAAAGGCATAGGAAATGCCACTGCAAACTAAGCAGCTCATGAATTTGTCAGCTTTAAGCAAGCACTTTCCTTATAAACCACATAGGCTACATTGACATGGCATAACAGGTAGTTATTAATGGCATAACTGGAGTTAGTAATGTGGAAACAAACCCATTAGGTCAGGCAGCTAATAGTACTTTCATCAATTTGTCAGTGAGTTTTCATTGAACAGTTCTTGAAAAAGAAACATTAAAAAACTAAAATTAAAAATCTTGATAATGAAACAACATGAAAAGTAATTGCTCTTTTTAACTATTAGTGCAGTGGTTCTCAACCTGTGGGTCAGGACCCCATTTGGGGTCGAACAGCCATTTCATGGGGGTCACCAAACAAGGCTGTCCACCATTTTTTCCCCCTTTTCTTTGGCCACGTCCCTGGCATCTGGTGATGTATAAGTGGTTGGGGGTCACCACAACAGGTGGAACTGTATTATGGGGTCGCGGCATTAGAAAGGTTAAGAACCACTGTATTAGTGGCTTTGTTAATTTCCATGGATAAAAGGTTTATTTTTAAACAGCTGCAATATGATGTCTAAAGCTGCAACTTTAACAGTGGGAATGTTACAAAGCAGGAGAGGAATGAGGCAGCCTGAAGATCTAAGGGAAATGGGAAGATGGGGAAGAACAAAGCCATCCATCTTGGGAGAATGCTAGGGAAACCATGAACACAGGGGCCTCCTACCTCCTCTGTGGACTGTGAGGCATGCATGTGCCCAAGCAGAGTTTTAATGTAGTCTCCCCTTGTCCTCACATTCATCCAAGAAGTCAGAGGTGAGGAACAGTTCTGTTGCCCCAACTGTTAGCATCCTTAGAAAATGGATGCATCCATAGAAACAGAACACTTCCGCAATCAGGCAGCCAATAGCAGTATAGGTCCACATCACACTTGGCTTGGACAATCTGTGCAGTTAGGCTCTGTGTTATTCCTGAATATAAAATATGGTTTCAGATACTGCCAATAATTGATTGCCCATAGTTGGGTTAGGGTTAGATCACTTTGGAGTCAAAGCTGAAAAGTGGTGTGAGGGCTAGATTCTAGGACTGTGGAGGCAAATCTATGGCACACGTGCCACAGGTGGCACGCAGAGCCCTCTCTTTGGGCACACATGCCGTCACCCCAGTCCTAGGCAATAATCAATTAACTTCTTGCAGGAAAAAAAAGATCTCACAAAATTGGAATTGAACTTTTTAGTCCCATCCAGTTTGCCATTACCACCACACCCACCCAATGGACCACACCCACCCAATGGACCACGTCCACCCGGCACCCAATGATACATAAGTGGGTTTTGGATTGCAGTTTGGGCACTCGGTCTCTAAAAGATTCGCCATCACTGATATAGAGAATAGTAACCTTAAAATGCCATTAAAAAGGTTTATTTCTTTCGGCAGCTGCAATACCCGCTTTGACCACAGGAGGGCACAGTTTTCTGTCCCATAGCATTAGCACTGAGGCGCTCGTATGCCTTTTGCCAGGATCGGGAGACCGAGAAGCGAAGCCCCAAAGCGCAGAGCGTCAGCCAAAGCATTGCCGCTCTATGCTCCTCCGAAAGGGACGAGCCGCTTCCGTTGGCCACCTCCGAATTCGCCGCCAGCTCGTTCCTCTCAAATCATCTCCGAAAGACCTTCTTGGCATGGTGGACTTCCCATCCGTTGACCACGACCGTCCCCCAGTACGTTTGGAAATGATCTCGTCATAGCCGACTTCTTGTCTGTTGATATCGGCCATCCTCCAGGCCCTTTGAAAAAGGACCTTTCCATCATGGCTGAGTTCTGGTCCATTCTTCTTAATCATTCCTCCAGCTCCCTTTCACAGAGACCTTTTCAGCATGGCGGACTTCCCGTGCGACCAAATTAGCTGTCCCCCAGTGCATTTTGAAACGACCTTCCCATCATGGCCAACTTCTTTATTTTTTTCGGCGACCGCAGTACCCGTTTTTGACCACAGGAGGGCACAATTTTCCGTCCGGTAGCATGACCACCGACGACGACGAGACGAGTTCCTGTCCATCCGCCGAGGCCGTCCCCAACTTCCTGTCCGTTCGCAGCACTGTTCCTTGCTTTTTCCCGTGCTCTTTTCTGCACTACGTTGACGGAGCGCACGTCTACCGGCGAGGCCTCAGGAAGGAAAAAAGGAAGCCTGCTACTGCCTCAGGTGAGCCGAGCCATCCCCGCATTTCCCGATTCCAGAAAGATACCGGCTTTCTCTGTTACTTAGTTAGCGGGGGATCCCCACCTTCCCCCTCCCCCGCCTCCTCCCCGGCCACTCATTTGGTCCTCTCCCCTAAGATGTCCGCCTGGCCGTTCCTGGCCTTTCGCCGCCGGTGTCTGTAAAAATGCGACCGAGAACCGGTGGCGACGGCGGCGCCGGAGGTTGTGAGACTTGGTCTCTTTGCCCTCTTTCCCTTTCAGCTATAGGGGCTAAATTGGGAACGTAGAGACGAAGTTAGCTTGTTTTAATAAAACACTTCGGGGTCGTTTACGCGAGCTCAGCCGCGGCTTCTTTTTAGCTCCTTTTTAGAGGCGGGGCCGGCGGGACACGCTCCAGGCTTTTGTCGTCCGAGTCGGGAAGGGGGTTCCGACCCGTCTCGGGGGTCTCCTCGAAGGCTGCCAAGCAAGGCAGCCGTTGAATGGTGTTTTCCCAGCGCCCGAGTCCCGGATGTAGAAGAACCAGTCGTATCGCGCTTCCCTGTGTTACACCTTAAGAGGTTGCTCCTAAAAGTGCACCCCGCTCGCCCCCTTCAAGCAAATCCAGGTGTTTTTATTCAAGAATAGTTTTGTTTGTCCTGCCCTGCTATTTCTTTAAGGAGATCGTACGTATGTAGGTTTATATTTAGGTTTGATGTTTCTAAACTATATTTCTTAGAGATCCCTATGTATTAATCTAGGCGCAATATCAAATCTCTATTTGAAATTGTGTGCATTTTTATTAAGAAACAATCAATATAAAAATAAATGCAGTTTATTTTGAAAATGCGTATAACCTATCGTTCCCTTCTAGGTTTATCATTTAAAGGATGGATAAAAGGGATGATACTTGAGAAGCTGCAACTAATGGCTTTTATTATTTTGTTCGCCGTCCATCTAACTTTGTAGACCTTCGTCCAAAACAAGTCAGGGTTAGGAAGGGTAGGAGATTCCTTCCTTTCCTCGCCAGGTTGCCATAAACAGCCCACCCACCGCCCAGAGGTAAGAGAAAGGAAAAGCAGGTCTCTCTGGGGGAAGCAGGAGACCGGGTCTTTGCAGAGTCCGGCTTGCAATTTTGCTAACTTCCCCCAGTCACAGCTGCATCGACTGATGTAGCGGCCAGGAGGAAGGGTGGGGACGCCTGCCGGATGAAAGCTTCAGCCTTTTTGGAAAAGGCAGTGGAGAAAGGAGGTCACGCTCCCTGGATTTCCAGCCTAGAGCCTCCACAGGATGGGTGACCCCCCACCCCTTGCTGTGGCTGTTAAGAAGGAACTGGGGGGAAACAGGTAAGTTGTTCTTGAGGATTCCCCCCCCCTTTTTTTGCCACTTTCAGTGAGGTTAAGGCTTTTCCTTTTAAAGAGAAGGGATGGAAATGGAGTAAGGTTGGGAGCCCAGTAAAAACCCCAAGAGGAAGCGGGAAACAGGGTGGGAGTTTGCGATGGCCACCGCTCCTCTCAATATTGCAGTTTTGGTGGGAAATAGCGGGAGGGACCGCTCCAAGGGCCTTCCCACTAGCAGAGCTTGGCAGTCCACCGGAAAGGGCCTTTTCTGGCACACCTGGCAGGCCGTGCGACAGAATCTTTGGGTGATGCTCACGGGGCCCGCTTTCCGGGCATTTAGGGACAAGGTAAGAACGCATCTCTTTGGGCGAGCTTTTGATTTCTGAGCAATCCTCTTGTGTAAATTTAAGAGCGATTTCAATTGCGTTAATGGGGTTTGTAGATTACAGCGTTAGCGTTTTATGAAGCACTTTGATGGCAGAAGAAACAAAAATCGCCAACAAACTCGGAGTGCTTGGGTATTGTTAGGAGGGCACTGACTTTTCTAGGCTGCCTTATCTATGTTGGACTTCAACTCCCAGAATTCCTGAGCCAGCCCTGCTAAGGGACGGAAAACTGGTCAAATCAGATACTGCGGCCAGAAAAATAAATAAACCTCTTTAAGATGATTATTCTTGATTATTAAAACCTTATTAATATGAATAAGCCACAACAGGCCTTAACTCGGTTTAAGATTGGAACCAGGATTTCTTCTGCGCCCATGTCGCATCGACCGAGCCCCCCGTCGCCACGTTAATATTAAGAATAAAGCATTAAGAATAAAAATAGAGAAGAATAAGCTTCAAATGCTATTAAAAAGTATTTATTTCTTTGGGCGGCAGCAGTACCCGTTTTTGACCACAGGAGGGCAGTGTTTCCTGTCCCATAGCATTAACAAGGAGGCCGTCGTAGCTCTTTTGCCCAGGATCGGGACACCGAGAAGCTAAGCCCCAAAGCGCAGAGCGTCAGCCAAAGGGTCGCCACTCTATGCTCCTCCGAAAGGGACGGGCCGCTTCCCTCGGCCTTCTGCGCATGTCGGCCGGCTGGTTCTTGACGAGTAATCTGCGAGAGGCCCTCTCTGGACGGCGGGCTTCCTGTCCGTAGGTATCGGCCGTCCCCCAGGTGCTGCGGTAAAAGGACCTTTCCATCATGTCCGACTTCCGTTGGGTATTTTACCATTTCCTGGTAAAATACATGGGAAAATAACATTGGAGGAAAATTCCACTTAGGGTTAGGGTTACCTCACCATGAACTCCTAGAGCAAAATGGACATCGCCAACGAACTCGGAGTGCTTGGGTATGGTTAGGAGGGCACTGACTTTTCTAGGCTGCCCTTTCTATGTTTCCTGGTAAAATACATGGGAAAATCCCATTGGAGGAAAATTCCACTTGGGGTTAGGGTTACGTCACCTTGAACTCCTAGAGCAAAATGGACATCGCCAACAAACTCGGAGTGCTTGGGTATGGTTAGGAGGGTACTGACTTTTCTAGGCTGCCCTATGTATGTTTCGTGGTAAAATACATGGGAAAATCCCATTGGAGGAAAATTCCACTTAGGGTTAGGGTTACCTCACCATGAACTCCTAGAGCAAAATGGACATCGCCAACGAACTCGGAGTGCTTGGGTATGGTTAGGAGGGCACTGACTTTTCTAGGCTGCCCTTATCTATGTTTCCTGGTAAAATACATGGGAAAATCCCATTGGAGGAAAATTCCACTTAGGGTTAGGGTTACGTCACCATGAACTCCTAGAGCAAAATGGACATCGCCAACAAACTCGGAGTGCTTGGGTATGGTTAGGAGGGCACTGACTTTTCTAGGCTGCCTTATCTATGTTTCTTGGGAAAATACATGGGAAAATCCCATTGGAGGAAAATTCCACTTAGGGTTAGGGTTACATCACCATGAACTCCTAGAGTAAAATGGACATCGCCAACAAACTTGGAGTGCTTGGTATGGTTAGGAGGGCACTGACTTTTCTAGGCTGCCCTTTCTATGTTTCCTAGTAAAATACATGGGAAAATCCCATTGGAGGAAAATTCCACTTAGGGTTAGGGTTACGTCACCATGAACTCCTAGAGCAAAATGGACATCGCCAACAAACTCGGAGTGCTTGGGTATGGTTAGGAGGGCACTGACTTTTCTAGGCTGCCCTTTCTATGTTTCCTGGTAAAATACATGGGAAAATCCCATTGGAGGAAAATTCCACTTAGGGTTAGGGTTACGTCACCTTGAACTCCTAGAGCAAAATGGACATCGCCAACAAACTCGGAGTGCTTGGGTATGGTTAGGAGGGCACTGACTTTTCTAGGCTGCCTTATCTATGTTTCTTGGTAAAATACATGGGAAAATCCCATTGGAGGAAAATTCCACTTAGGGTTAGGGTTACGTCACCATGAACTCCTAGAGCAAAATGGACATCGCCAACAAACTCGGAGTGCTTGGGTATGGTTAGGAGGGCACTGACTTTTCTAGGCTGCCCTTCTATGTTTCCTGGTAAAATACATGGGAAAATCCCATTGGAGGAAAATTCCACTTAGGGTTAGGGTTACGTCACCTTGAACTCCTGAGCAAAATGGACATCGCCAACAAACTCGGAGTGCTTGGGTATGGTTAGGAGGGCACTGACTTTTCTAGGCTGCCTTATCTATGTTTCTGGTAAAATACATGGGAAAATCCCATTGGAGGAAAATTCCACTTAGGGTTAGGGTTACGTCACCATGAACTCCTAGAGCAAAATGGACATCGCCAACAAACTCGGAGTGCTTGGGTATGGTTAGGAGGGCACTGACCTTTCTAGGCTGCCCTTGTATGTTTCCTGGTAAAATACATGGGAAAATCCCATTGGAGGAAAATTCCACTTAGGGTTAGGGTTACGTCACCATGAACTCCTAGAGCAAAATGGACATCGCCAACAAACTCGGAGTGCTTGGGTATGGTTAGGAGGGCACTGACTTTTCTAGCTGCCTTATCTATGGTTTGGGTGGTAAAATACATGAATCATCAAACTCCCTGGAAAATGTTTCCTGGTAAAATACAGGAAATCCCATTGGTGGAAAAGGGTTAGGGTTACGTCACCGTGAACTCCTAGAGCAAAATGGACATCGCAACAAACTCGGAGTGCTTGGGTATGGTTAGGAGGGCACTGACTTTTCTAGGCTGCCCTATCTATGTTTCCTGGTAAAATACATGGGAAAATCCCATTGGAGGAAAATTCCACTTAGGGTTAGGGTTACGTCACCATGAACTCCTAGAGCAAAATGGACATCGCCAACAAACTCGGAGTGCTTGGGTATGGTTAGGAGGGCACTGACTTTTCTAGGCTGCCCTTTCTATGTTTCCTGGTAAAATACATGGGAAAATCCCATTGAGGAAAATTCCACTTAGGGTTAGGGTTACGTCACCGTGAACTCCTAGAGCAAAATGGACATCGCAACAAACTCGGAGTGCTTGGGTATGGTTAGGAGGGCACTGACTTTTCTAGGCTGCCCTATGTATGTTTCCTGGTAAAATACATGGG